GTGGTCACATACTGTTGCGGCCCAATTAAATGAAGAAAAACTATCTACATTCTCAACAAATGAATAGAGCCCAGTGGGTACACTAAAATTGCTGGAATGAAATAATAAATTAGACAACAAAAATTTAATAATAAGTTTATCAAGACTAGCAGATGAACTCTCCAATAGTTCACTCTTTGCCAGCCTTGCATCTACGTCATTGACGGGTTTTTTAGCCCAAGTTGCTGTAGGACCTCTGTTGGGCATGTCAATCAACAAAGCAACTTGGTCTGCATCAAAACTTAGCTCTTTCCCCCCCAATCTGAAAGCCAATCTATTAATATCCCAACAATTCAATACGTGCATAGTTAGGATGTGATCTTGAGGATAGAGGGGCAGATAAAAAAACTGATTAAGTTTCATTTTTTCCAGAGTTGACCAGGTCTCCCGATCAAAAATTGGTCGAACCTTATCCAACACCTCTCTAATTGCTGATGGTCGGTATTTACAATTTATTGACTGTTTATTCATCAACCTATAGGAATAAGATGTATGTTATTAACACTGGAATCACCAAAGAATGTTAGTCATCAATATACAGAAATAAGATACATGTTATTAATACTGTTATCAATACTGGAATACCCTAAAACTAGATAAATAAATAATCTACGAATAACATACGCAGAACCTAAAAATTAACAAAACAATACCTTAAAATATCTCTGGAATAACCTACAAATAACCTATGCATAACCTAAAAATTCATAGAAATAACCTATGAATAACCTGCGCATAAACCTGAAAATAACTTAAAAATAATCCAGGAATAGCCTAGGAATAACCTAAAAATAACTTAAAAATATCATCAAAATCAGCCAGGAATAACCTAGTAATAACCTACTCATAACTTAAAAAAATAACCTACGCATTACTTTAAAATAAAAAAAAAATACACTAAAAATAACGTACAAATAACCTATGAATAACCTGACATAACCTAAAAATACCTTAGGAATAACCTATGAATAACCTGCGCATAAATCTGCAAATAACTTAAAAATAACCCAGGAATAACCTAGGAATAACCTAAAAATAACTTAAAAATATCCTCAAAATCAGCCAGGAATAACCTAGTAATAACCTACTCATAACTTAAAAAAAAACCTACATATTACTTCAGAATTAACAAAACAATACACTAAAAATAACGTTCAAATAACCTACAAATAACCTGATATAACCTAAAAATACCCTAGGAATAATCTATGAATAACTTGCGCATAAACCTGCAAATTTAAAAATAACCCAGGAATAACCTAGGAATAACCTAAAAATAATTTAAAAATATCCTCAAAATCTGTCAGGAATAATCTAATAATAACCTACTCATAACTTAAAAATAACCTACACATCACTTCAAAATTAACAAAATAATATAATAAAAATAACTCAGGAATAACCTGAGAATAAACTAAAAATAACCCACGAGTTAACTCAAAAATAACCCAAGAATAACCTACGAATAACCTGAAAAATAACCTAAAAATAACCGAAAAATAACCCAGGTTTAACCAGCGAATAAGATACGCCTAACTTACAAATAACCTACGAATAATTTAAAAATAACACATGAATAACATGGAATAGCTTCCAATAAGTACTACGTTTAGGAGTAACTCAAGAATAACCCAATAATAATCAAACTAATAACCTAAAAGCAACCTGAGAATAAAATGATGACAAATGCCAGGACAAGTTTTCCACTTCCATGCCCTCCTTCATCATCTTCACCTCCTTTTTCCTCTGCTTCTTTGACTTCATTGGCTGCTCAACCTCTGTCTTCTCAGCCTCTTCTGATACTGTTCTTGAGCTCTCTTCGGCCTGCGCATACTCCGGGTCATCAAACGCCATCGTCTCACAGCTTCGAAGCTAGCGAACGAGGAAAATGTGAAACCCTAACAGAGTGAGCGGCGAAAACGTAGAAGAAAAACCACCGGAGAGTATTTTCGGATCGTCTTCCTCGACATATGCGGGGTACTCGAAGAGACGCGGGCTCGTACATCGGGTCGGGTCGGCCTTCAGCGAATTCTTTTTTTAATTACGTGGACAAGCGAGTCCCACATTTTCTACGTAGCAAAATTTTATTGGTCAGCGTACAATGCGGATCATCAGGTCTCCTGACCGAAAAAGCGCAAGGAGCGGCAGAACTGGGAGAAGGTTCTCAGGATCGCACAGGTAGAGTAGCTCAAAAGCGTAGGCTAGGGAAAATGATTGCGTAGGGAAGATGACAGGCTGAGGATCGCGTAGGGAAGGATCGTGTGGGCTAAGGCCTATGATCGATCATTAAGGGAGGCGCTGCAAGGCGGAGACTAGAGTGGGATCGCGGGAAGGGGTTTGACAGAGCAAATCGATCGTGTGTGGCTTACACATGAGACAGAACAGTGCAAAGGGATCATGTCTTTGTGGCGGAACAACGAAAAGAATCGCTGCAGAGTGGAGGATCAGGTGTCGACAAGGACTATTTGCAGTTTTTTGGTGCAGAGAAGATTGCTGTAGGGAGGTTTGGACAGAGAAGTTGTATGCGAGTATCTCCCGCTGCAAACGCAACAAGTTTTATGCAATTTCAAGAATAATAGGAAGACTACAGATTCAATAAAGTATTTAATTGTATGGCTCTTATACCATGACAACTTATGATAAAATAGACTGAATGTCTTTTTTCTTTAATTTCATTCTAATAAATAATAGTCTATACAATCTATTTTAGGTAGCCTAATAATACATAATAATGTGTACAAGTGTACAATCTATTTTAGATAACTTTAGATAACTTAATAATACGTATTCCCAATCTAAATATTCAGCTATAAGGAAAGAATATGTACAATTAAAATAAGGAATTTAATGCAGCAATTTAAAAAAGGAATTTAATTCAGCAATAAAGAATTAACTATTTTTTAATTTTGCCTAATTTTTAGTTATTCTTGATTGATAACATGGCCCGAGTCATCTGTCGGATGGTTTTGTAGTTGAATGACACCACTAAGAAACGATTAAAATTGGAGCCCTCTGAGAGGGTGATTTGCCGCTAAATGACATTATTATATTACAACCACGACTATGGCATGTATGTTCTCCAATGACATTTTGCCCTTTTAATTTGTAAATTATAGGATATGTCAGATATGACACAAATCTTCTGTAAGTTAAGGTTGACTTCGATTAGCCTTATTAGATAGACATTCACTCCAGGTTTATAAGATTTTTTTGAACGAAATAACTCTTGGTTGTTAATAAGTATCATTTTGTCAAATTGGGTCGAGTATTTTATTGACTAAGTAGGCAGAGACCATGACAACCAGGATAATAGTACTATGAGATCTCAATAAAGTTTCTTATTATTTCCCCTCTCATCCGCTCTAAGCTAAAAATGATAATTTTTATAAATTTTAAATCATAAATTTGTTGCTGCTCTATGCTAAGTTTGAATACTTAGCTTCTAATGACTAGTCTTAATCGAAAGTATTCTACTTTTATTGGGAGGGGTAATTAGCCATAATAGCTTTTGCATATGAGAAACTTTGAACCTAAATCCTAAAGTCCTCACAAAATGAGAGTGGAATCTCTGTGTAGTATCTTATCTACTATCTCTCCTGGCTTATAAAGATTTGACCTAAAATCATACAGAAAACTCGCACGTTACTTGTTCTTTTTTGTAGGAGGCTGGAGTGTTCAAATTTTTACAGTCCACATTGGGCTGAATTTGAACTCTTAATCAAATGCATTGTCTCACATACAACTCAATATGGAATTTGCTCTTCCTGCAGCAGCTGAAATTTTCTTGAATTTTCATTTTCACGTCATTCTTTTGGTTGTCTTAAATGAATGACCCCTTGTAGGTCATGGTTACCATTGCTGAACTTCTCGAGGAGAAACAAAAAGGCAGGCGAAAGGCTTCAACAGGAAACAGGCAAAGAACCCAACAGCAATTTAACACATATCCAATAGATGATCTGTTAATATATCTTAATGATGAAGTAGCGGATGTGAAAGATTCATTTGTAGGTCTTGTGATTCACAATATAGATGGACCTGCCTTGAGGGATTCAGAATCGCAGCAATATCTTGCGCGCTTGGCATGCTGTTTTAATGTTTTTGTCATCGCTTCTATCGACCACGTCAATGCACCTTTGTGTAAGTTTTCTTCTGTTGAAACTCGTCAATTTTTCCTTGCATTGAACATGGCCAATAATGGCTCGTTTGGCTTCCATTTAACATATATTTCTGAACAAAATTTGAATACTCATCGGAAAGTCCTTTTGTTGTAACCATTTGTCTGTAATACTTGGCTCCAAACATGTCGCCTATTTTGCTATGTTTTGAGTTTTTTCTTATGCGGATTACTGAAGTTAACCCTTTCGTTCATGACATCTAAAAGTAATTTTTTAGAGATTATGAACGATTAAATTAATTGAATAGTATTACTGCTAATGAAGAGCGCGTTATCGTAATAGCTGCAGGTTCATGCTTTTTTAATTTATGTTGAACGTCTACAAAATATATAATTATAATTTCTGGGGCTGTTTGTTCGGTGTTATGTTGGGTATACTGTGAAAGGAAAGCAGGACTTGAAAATCGTAGTATTTGGTCGAGAGTATTTTGCCTATACTGTAGAAGTAATGCAGGACTTCTGAAAATTGTAGGATTTGGTCGGAGGAAATAATTAGTGTAAAATTTGAAAGCATTTAGAAATCTTTCTCTAGTTCAATTTTAATGGATTTGAAATTCAGTTGATTTGAGGGAATTTCAAATACGTCCTTCTATAAAAGGTTAGCCATAATCTCTGGCTGCCTCCTGCCGGATGCCGCTGTCATACATCGCCAGCCGCTCCCCATCTGACACCACCATCACCATTGAGTGTTGCAGTTCACCATTTCACGCCACCACCTAGCTTGGAACTGCATTTGCATTGTATTCATCCAAACATAAAAAAACATATAAATTCATGCATTTGTAGTTTCTTGATCTAAACAATTATTTTTGCTTTTTAATTCACTACATTTTTTTAATTATATTTTTTTATTGCATTCCTTTTTCTGCAAAACAAAAAATTCCTCGCAGATGACAAGAATCTGAATTAAATTTCTGCAACTGCATTTTTCTTAAAGCAATATGATGTCTTCATAATATATAGTTTCAATGTTCATTTGTTTTTGAATAATTAAAACACGAGGTATATGCATGCATACCATCCATTTCTTATCATATGTAAGACCGAAACTTTAATTTTTACATTTATACCACCCAAATTTTTCATATCACATCAACAATACCACCCTTTTAACTTTTAGAAAGTGAAATACACCTTTTCATTCATAGGGAAGGTGGCATTTGCGTAAAAATATTGAAGTTTAGTTGTTAGATATGTAAATACATAAGAATTGAATGGTATATATGCAAATCTTCCTTAAAACTTTTGGATGGAAAATTTACTGGGATTGTCATTGTTGAATGAAAATTCTTTCGAAATTACTTTGCTGTAGTACAATTTATTAATTTGCCTTGTTTAACATGCATCGAGTTGTTATTTATTCTGTAATTGGATTGTATATATCAGCTAGTGTAGTGGTGCTGTCCTCGCTATTTTGGAGGATGGAAGCAATTCTATTCATGAAAACCATACACTTTATTACACCGTCCTTTGCTCTAATCCTTCGCAGTTTCATGACAGTATGGGACAAGAAGATGGTTCACACACAGTTCAATTGGTGCTGGCACCATGTTCCCACCTTCACACCTTACAAGGCTGAAGGCGTATTCTTTCCTCTAATACTCACTTCTGGCAGTGCCGTCCAATGTGCACGAACAGCCACAATTGTCTTGCAGAGTTTGACCCCAAATGCACAAAGTGTCTATAAAGTTCTTGCAGAGTATCAGTTAGCTAATGAGAAAGAGGAAGGTAAGCTTCTTCCATCCGTTACCATTATGCAAAATTCTATCATTACATGATTTACACAAGTTATTTCTGTCCTCAGGAATGCGTTAACACTCTTTATACCAAATGTCGTGAACGTTTTCTGGTTAGCAGCCAGGTTACACTCAATTCACACCTTACAGAGTTTAGAGATCATGGATTGGTGAAGACCAGGAAGCACTCTGATGGCCAGGATTGCCTCTATATTCCACTTTCCTCTGAAGCGCTGCAGAAGTTGTTATCAGATTTGGGTTAAATCCATGCTCCTGGAAATGGCTTCTCATCAGTGATTTCTTTCTGGGTACTGAATCTTAACCTTTTTATCATTTAGAGAGCTATTTGATCAAGAGAATTTTTTTGCTTTTCATTCAATATTGTGTTTTTTATTGGTCAATATTAACTTTGTGATAATATCAATAGTAAGCACGAGCACATGGATTTTCCTGAACTAAGCTCCGAAATATCTCTCCATTTTAACCACAAACTTCTATTTATTTGGCTTTGATTTTTTATTCCGTTACTCTGACTTTTAGCTAGCCTTAGGGTAAGAGAATGCATTGTTTCTTAGTGCTGTGTTTTATTTTATTGCCGATTTCTTTGGCAGGTTTAATGCTAATAATATTCTATATGTTGTAGCCTAAGCATTAAGTCATGGAAGCTGTTGCTTTCTAGCTGAAAGAAGTGATTTGTTGTCTTACATTTTTCATTAAAAAAAGAGACATTTACATACATACCAAAGAATTCTGATATATTTTATAGATCTAGCACCCAAACATTTATATTAACATGTATCACTCAAATTTCTAATTTCATATCAAAAATATCATCACTATCGTTTTAATAAGTGAAATACATTTTTTCTTGCATAGACTTATGACACCAAGATAGTTTGTGTAACTATCAGAGTGTTAGATATGTAAATATGATATAGATTGAGGTTTACTACATCAAGACTTCTGTATACATTGAAGAGTTGTGATAGGTAATAACCATTTAACCATTTAAAATAATAGGATTTGGGTATAGTTTGGTAAGCATCTTGCTGAAGGATCCTTTATTGCACAACTTACGGCTTGGTGTGTTGATTTGAATTTTGCCTGATTGGCATGCATTTATTTGCTTATTTATTGTATTACGATAGATTTATTTTGTAAGTGTCAAACGTACAACTAGTAATATATGCTTGTTTGAATTCTCTTATACAAGGTTCATGCTTCAATGCATAAATATACCAACTTAAGCATTGCCACCAGTTATTATATATGTGATATGCTTTTTTTTTCTTTTTGTTTCTTTTTTTGTGTTCATACTCTTTGTTATGATGTGATGTCTTGTTTAATATTTCTCACATATTTTACACTTTTTATTTTATTATTATTTTTTATATTAATGTACTTTTAGCTCTGAAAATCTTTTTATTACAATAACGTACAAACTAAGGTTTTTAATCAAGTATATCGAGATCCTAAGAGTACTTCAAAGTCAAACAAAACCAAGAGATCTCGGGATGATCTAAGTGGCAACGGCCAGGAGCAAATGAAATCCTAAATTTGCATCTTAATACTATTATATTTTTGTTCAGATGTAAAATGGTATATATATAGAATATGTAGAGCGCACAATTTTTTTCTATTTTTCTAGTTTTGTTTAGTAGACACGTTTGGATTAACTTGCATTTTATCCTTGGAGGATTTACATACATGCCAATTAATTCTTATGTATTTACATTTCTAACACTCAAACTACAATTTTTACGTATGTACCACTTTATCTATGCATGAAAAGGGGTATTTAATTTTTTAGAGGTTAAAATGTGGCATTTTTTGGCGTGTTATGAATGATTTCGATAGTATAAATGTAAAAGACAAAATTGTGGTGTTAGGTATTTAAATACATAAGGAAAGGTTGGCTTGTGTGTAAATGCCCCTTTATTCTTTTCTATGCCATCATAATCTCTTATTATATTCAGTTTGATTGATGTCGCTTTTATTTAGTGTTTTGTGTGAATTGTCTAGGATTCGTACTTTTGTGACAGGATCTTAGTATAAAATTTTTTCTATCAACCTTAATGAATTAAATGAACTTAAAAATAATTAAGCAAAAGAATTTTGTTAATATTAAATATAGACTTTTCTATTAGAATAATTAGGAATGAATAATAATTTTTTGTTGATGTTAATCCTTTAGCTTAGCAACAATTATAAGTTTGATCTCCTGAACATCAACACGAGCATCAACACATTACTAGATCTTTCAACAAGATCAAGAGATAAACATACCCACATTACTAAAATTCTTGATGTCTCACATCTAGAATGTGGCTAATGGATTTGATATTTTTCTATGGAATGTATACATCTCAAAACTCTTTTTAGCTAATGGATTTCATTTTTTTTTTCTAGACGCTACTATTTTCTTCTCACTAAGGTTCACTCATATGAGAATGGAATTAAAAATCAAGATTATCTTTAACGACAACTCGTAGACAAGTCGTGTTGTTGCTTTCTTCTCAACAATTTCCCCTCAATCACCCTATATATACCTTTTTTTAAGTACTACAGTCGAAATATAACATGCTTTAGAAAGGAGACTTCAATCCTCAAACAGATCAAGAGTATTCAACTCAATAATGAACTTCATAATATTACTATGGGAGCAAACACAATAACCCAATATCTCATTGTTATCAGGAAATTTGGTGAACAACATTGCAGCCGCTAGTTCCAAGGCCGATATAGAAGATATTACTTTGTATACTCTAAATGGATTATCATTAATCTATCAAGGTTTCAAGTCTGTCATCAGAATAAATTTGAACCCAATAACATTGGATGACTTCTAATTATTACATAATAAAGAATGCAACATGACAAATGAATCAACAAAAATCATCAAACATTCTGTTTTACTGACATATAAAAACAAAGGTGGGTTCCAAAGTCAAGTAAACTTTAACAAGAATTATGTAAATATTAAATATCAAAATAACAACAATATGACAACTAAAATCCAATGTGATATGCCAGATTTGTAAGTTGCAACAAGAAATGTCATTCAGCCACTCAATTTTGGCACCAATCAAATCTCTAGTACAAAGCTATCTCCTCCTGTTAATTTTCTTCTCTCAACACTCAACTTAATGCTTACTCGCAAGAATGGGTGTTGGATACCGTATCAATAGCCCGCCTCACACCTCGTGTGGAAAACTTACAACCAGCTCTTTACAAAGGTTCTGATCAAGTAGAGGTTGGAAATAGTCAAAACAATAAAATCACTCATGTTGGTAATAGTATTCTTCTTACACCTGACAGCAATTAGAAACTCTCTACTCTCTTTAGAGTTTTTAAACTCTCTCAAAATCTTATATTTGTTAATCAACTTATTAATATAACAATTGTCAAATTATATTCAATGCTAACAAATTTATAATTCTAGATTCCACAACTAAGAAAACCCTTCTTACTAAAGCAGCTGATGAAAGACTATATCCCATCACAAACCTCAACACTCTTAGAAGTTTAAATATATGGTATCAACTGTTGGGACATCCTCACAATAAAGTCATCTCTATGATCTCTCACTCTTGCCCTCATCTCAAAATATCTCTCTCTACTTCTTCATGTTATGATTGTTACCAAAACAAAAGTCTTATGTGTGGTTCAACTACTTATTGTATGTTAGAAGTGTTACATGACGACATTTGGGTATCTTTTTTGATCCTTATATTGAAGGATATAAATACTATGCTACTTTCATTGACTTTTTTTCTCATTTTCATTGGTGCATATATTTAAGATATAAATATACAATTGCACTACAGTTTATTTCTTTGCACAAAATGTTAAAAAATCAATTAAAAAAACTTAAAATATTAGAGAACTAATGAAGGAGGAGAATATATGTCCTACTAAATTTCATTTTTATCTATAAAATCATGGTATTAAGCATCAATTCAGTTGCCTGTGTACACCGGAAAATACTGGTATTACTGAAAGAAGATGAAGACCCTTAATAGAAACTACTAGAACTGTTCTCAACATATATAATCTACTAATAAAATTTTGGATGAAAGTTATTCAAACAATTAATTATCTAATAATCAGTCTTCCATCCATCAATACTCAAAATAAATTTTCCTTTCAACTGTTATATGAAACTAAGCATGAATATCAATATCTTATAATCTTTAGTTGTCTTTCTTTTCAGTAGTAACATAATACTCTTCATAAGCTTTCTTCCAAAACCCCACAATGCATATTTTTTGGATACAGTCTACAACATAAAGGATTTAAGTGTTTTGATATTCAAACTAATAAATATTTTTTCTCTAGATATGCAAATTTATTGAAAATGATTTTTCCTATAATCAATCTTCTCAACAGTCCACTACCAAAAACTAATCAGAATACTTTGTTACCACCATCTCTTATCCACTCATCTATTCTCCTCTCTGACACAACTTCCCTTCATACTGTTCAAACATTTATCCTTCCCACTTGATCAACCGATATTATTGAACATTTTAATCTCCCATTATCATCATCACATAACCCCAACACATTCACTTCAAATCCCTCTATTGATATTCCTCACATACAAATGATTTCACCATCTGACCCACTAATGACATTAACACGTAAAATGTTTATCTCACTTTACAACACAAACATCACCTGATAACTAAAGGTCAAACAAGCAATTTAATATTTGCAAAAAATTTTTATCTTCAACACATTCTTAGTTCTTAAGAAGAACCACGTACTTATAATCATGGTGCACAACACTCACATTGGAGATGAACAACGTCTGAAAAGTTAATGGCTTTACAACAACAAGACACATGTGACCTTGTTTCACCTTCTGCAAATGAAAACATTTGGGTGCAAATAGATTTTTAGAACTAAATATCATACCCATGACTTCATATCCAGATACAAAGCAAGATAGTTGCCTGAGGTTTCTTTCAAAAAAAAGGAATAAACTCTCAGAGAACTTTTAGTGCAGTTACAAAATTTCTCACAATCTAGTTGTTTATTGCTTTAGTTGTTACCATAAAATAAAATATTCAACAACTAGACGCCTCTAATACTTTCTTACATGTGAAACTTAGTGATACAGTTTTTATGAAACAATCTCCTGAATTTTCCGATACAAACAATTCTCATCATGCATCTAAACTGAAAAAAGTTATATGTGATCTTAAACAAGCTCCTGGATAATGATACTCAACTTTTTGTAATTTTTTATCTAGTAAAAATTTTATTCCAAATATTGTTGATTAATATCTACTTATTTATAGTCATAATAATATTTGTATTTACTTATGAGTATAAAAAATGATATATTAATCTCTGAGAATTTCATCAGTGTAATCACCGTTTTAAGTCACACACTTAACAATCAGTTTAATTTAAAGTAATTGAGAACTACACATACATTGCACCCAAAAAGATCTTTTTTACACAGAACTTTGTATCTAAATAACTATTATCAAATAAAATTTGTCTTAACACTTTTTTTCATTAACTCTTATAAAACTACAGATGCTTTTATATCCATGAATAATCTAAAAATTATATGGATAAATTATCGACCCCATTCAATATCTTACCGTTACTAGACTTAACATTATATTTACTATAAATTATCTAAGTCAACACATGCACAATCCTACTACTTTTCACTTTCAACACTTAAAAAAGATTTCTCAGATACTTAAAAGACATATCTAACCATTACCTTCATATTATTTCTGATGCTCTTTATTTATGTAATAACATTGATCGAAAATTTGCATATGGTTTTGTATTTATCTTGGATCTAATTTCATCTCATGATTAGCAAAAAAATAGCCCAATCATTTGCCGAAGTTGAATACAAAGTAATTGTTACTACCATAACAGAAATTATTTGACTAAAATAACTTACCAACCAATCGCACCCTTCTATAACACTATATAGTGATTGCATATTTTTCATATTTCTAGCGAATAATTCGATCTTCCATGCTCTTATAAAACATATAGAAGTATATTATCATTTTATTAGAGATCATCTAAAACTCAAACACATATAACTTTAACATCTCATGATCGGGGATCAATATGCACATTCTGACCAAACTTAAGAGAAACGTAAAGGAAGAGAAAAGTGTTACACGAGTCTGGAAAAAATAAGTAATTATTCTTTATTTTATTTTTATATATTTGTTCATTACAAAAGTTCACATAAATAGCCCCATTACATGGCAAAGTTCTAAATAAACATGGGGATAGAAATGTCAGTTTACAATTATCAAATAATAATATTTAAACTCATGATAGGAGATCGACATCCCTAAAACATCTAAGCCCTTCAATTGGCAATAGCGACATCGGTGGAGAGAAAGATCATTAGCTCCTTTTAACCTCCCCTTCATGGTGATGATCTTAACTTGTGATTGTCAACTTGCTTGTAAGATTCTGATGTTGTTTGATTGGTAAAGGTTTTGTCGAAATGTCTACATGTTGATCATCATTCATGAGATATTGAAAATGTATGTGTTTGAGTCATAGCTGATTTCTAATAAAGTGATAATCCACTTCTATGTGTTCTATGCGAGCATGAAAGAGCGGAGTGTGCGTTAAAACTATGACATATGTTATCACTATGTAGTATTGTAGGAGGGGGCAGTCGTTGATTGGTATGTTCTTGTTAGACTTAGCCAAATGATTTCTGTTATGGTAGTAATGGTGTTTTGTATTTAGCTTTTATAGATGATCGGACCAACGTGGGTTGTTTATTTGCTAACCATAAGATGTGATTTGACCCAAGATAGAGACAAAATTAAAATGTGGATTTTCGATAAATGTTGTTCTTGGCCTAGTATGCATCTGCTTATGCATTAATATAAAGAGCACCAAAAATAATAGGAAGGTCATAGTTAGATGTGTCTCTTCCATATCTGATAAATCTTTTTAAGTGTTAAAATTGAGAGTAGTAGAATTGTGCATGTTTTGATTTAGATAATTTACAATGGAGTTAATGCCAAGTCTAGTAATGTTAAGATATTGAAGTGAGTCGATAACTTGTCTGTACAAATTTGGATTCTTCATGCGTATAATAGTGTCTTCAATTTTATAAGAGTTAGTGGAAAGATGTGTTAAGATAGACTTTGTTTGATACATATCTATTTTATGCAAAAAATCATTTAGATATTATGTTTGGTTAAAAAAAGATCCTTTTGACGTGTGTTGTATGTATAAACAGAGAAAGCGTGATATAGTTCTCAATTGCCTTTAAAATAAATTGATTGCTAAGTGTGAATTAAACAGTGTTGGAATTTCCAGTGATTAATATATCATATATATATATATATATATATATATACTGATAAATGGATACAGATGTTATTATGACTATAAATAAGTTGAGAGCTATCAACAATACTAAGAATGAATTTCTAAATATATAAAAAATTACAAAATGTGAAGTATTATTGTCTAAGAGCATGTTTAAGACTTCATATAGCTTTTTCATTTTACATACATGATGAGGATAGTTTGTATCAAAAAATCGAACAGGTTATTTCATAAAAATTGTATCGAGTTTCCCATATAAGAATACATTAGGGATGTCTAGTTGTTGGATCTCCAATTTTTTTTTCTGTAGCAGCCAAAGTAATAAACTGTCGAATTGTGAGAAATTTTGCAATCAGACTAATTTTTTTTTTAGAATATTCCTTGTTATTCAGGAATCTTAGGCAACTAATCTTATTTTGTATATGGCTATAGAGCCATCAGTATGATATTTAGTTCTAAAAGTTCATTTGCATGCACCCAAATATGTTTTGATTTGCAGGATGACAAACAAGATCTCATGCGTCTTGTCGTTGTAAATTCATGAATTCTTCATGTATGGCTTGTCTCTAAAGTGAGTGTTGCACAACTTTATTGTAATTATGTAATTTTTCTTGAGAACTAATAATGTAGTGAAGATAAAAAAATTTTACTGGTCTAGAATTGCCTGTTTGACCTCTAGTTATCATGTGATGTCGTTTTTGTTGCTTTTTGTGTGTATTGAGCCAACTGTTGGGTTAGTGGTGGTTGAATTGTTGATGGTGAAATAGTTTGTATGTGAGCAATATCAATAAAAGGGTTTGAAGTAAATGTGTGGGTTATATGGTAATGATAAAGAGCGATTGAGAGGTTTAGTAAGATGGGTTTATTGGGTGAGAATGGTGAGCAGTATGAAGGGAAGTTGTGTCAGAGAGAAGAGTAGATGTGGGGATAAGAAGAGATGGAGGTAACAAAGTGTTTTGCTTAGAGCAATCAGTAGTGGAATGTTGAGAAGATTGTTTATAGGGGAAATAATTTTGAATAACTTTGGCATGTGTAGAGAAAAAAAGATTTATTATCTTGAATATCAAAACACTTATATCATTTATATTATGGACCATATCCAAAAAATATACATTGTGGGGCTTTCGAAGAAACTTTATGAGTATTATGTTGTTACCATGGAGAACAGAGGCAACCAAATGTTCTAAGGTGCTGATATTTAGGTTTAATTTTGTGTAACAATTGATAGGGATATTTGTTTTGAGAATTGGTTGTGAGAAGTGTTTTTCTTTAGATAATTGACTGTTTGAATAACTTCCTTGCAGAATTTTATTGTTAGATTAGATGTGTTGAGAAGTGTTATAGTAGTTTCTCATATAAATAGCTCCATGTAACTAATATATAAACTCATTACAGGGGATCAACGGACCTAAAACATCTAAGCCCTTCAACAAACAGTAGCGGCAACATTGGAGAGGAATAAAGGAAACAGAGGAGAGTTTAGAGACAGGTAAAGTCTAAACTTGAGAGAGAGACAGAGATCTTGAGCTCTTTTTAATAGTAAATCAGAGTCTCTCTTAGACGTTCTCTTGAGTGTTAAGTATTCATAAGGAGCCTGCGCTTTTAGGAGATTGTTTGTACTCAAATTATTTATTTAATTTGATTTGAAAATCTTTGATGATATATGATCTCACATGAGCATTTTATGCTAGTTTTGATAAATTTATTGATCCTATTTTAGTAGACATTTTCTTCTCTTTTTGTGGAGCCTCTTATATAAGAAAAAAAATATTTACATATCATTTCCCCATTCAACATTCATTGGTTAATCTTTTAAGACTATTATTTATTTATATTTAGTATTATTGCATCCACGCCTTCAATAACATTCTCCTTGATATTAAATCTTCATTATTTTCGATATCTGAGAAGAACATATAAATAAAAATAAAATCAAGATGCTTGAAGTAATTTACTAATTTATCAACTTGTAAATGTTATATGCATGTAAGGTTTATTACCATTTTAGGAATATGCGATTTTAATGAATGAATATTTGCGGAAGATTACTTACGAATAGGGCTATCAAAAAAGCGCGTTGTTTGCGAAAAATTCTTGTTCGGTTCGTCAATGAGTTCATGTTCTGTTCATTCGATAAGTAAATGAGACGAAAGTGAATAATTTTTTTTTTTTGGTTAGTTAAACGAGCTAAACACGAACAATGATGTGTTAATTCGTGTTTGAATCTTTATTCTTGAAAATATAAAATAATTTAAAATAATTATATATAAAAAATTTATGATATTTAAAAAAATTAAATTTTATAAATTATAATATATAATAAATTAATAATAATAATATATTAATATACTATATTAATAATATACTAATATAGATATTATATATTTATATTATATAAGTTATATAATTAATATACTCATCGTTCGCGAATAGTTTGTGTTCGGATCGTTTGTTAAGAAACGAACACAAACATTGACTTCACGAACAATTTTGAACACGAGCTTATTTCAAACAAACTAAATTTCAAACGAATCAAACATGAACACAAGCTCTGCTCATTTGTGTTCGTTGACACCCCCATGTACGAACTTGATTATGAGTTTATACTCCAAAAGCACCAACATCTTCATCTTTTTGTAATAAGATGATTTACTTTTCTGGTGATCTCGAAAGGATTTTGTTGATGAAATCTTTGGGTTTTAGGCATTTCATCTCTAGGGTTGTTATTGATCCATTTTTTTAGCCAAATTAGGTTTGACTTAAATAGTATTGAGTGCGGCTCAAAATTGACTTGTTATATACGATTTCGAGCAAGCTCAGCTCGAAATTGAATCAAGTTTGATACGGCTTAATCAAAACTAGCTAGCTCAGGTTGAATTATATAGATTTGTTTGAGCACCGCCATCTTCATATTCGAATTTTGATTTTGTGCACACCTTTTTTTTCAAGATTATTATTTAGGTATTAATTTTTTTTAGATCTTGAGCTTATTTTTTGACAATTACAACCTCAAACAAGTCTCTATAATAAATATTGAATATAATTGGGGAGTCTAATGTAAATATTTTTAAAGAAATTTTACCTGGATCGGCGCAGTAGCCGTAGAGGCATTTGAAATCCCAATTTAGCATAATTTATTTTCAAGATGACCAACTTATATATCCTAAAACAGAAAGCAATTGATGTGTCATCTGAACATCATGCAATCAAGATGAATGTATATGCAATTTTTAATTTTGAAAATTTTCCCAAGTAAAGTCAAACACAGCAAGCATAATGACATCAAAATTGATATGATCTGCATCCAAATAAACATGAATCAAGTAAATGAAATGTAGTTGAAAAGTTTAGGATATTAATTGAAGAGTCAAACAATCGTTGAATCTTACATGTTTATACTTAAATCAAACATCTTGACAATGAGGTTTTTAAATGATGAATGAATTGTGTTTTTGGCTAAAATAACTAAAATGTCACTTACAAAAATTGCAAGTGGATCTTCATGTTCTATATGAAGAAAATCTAAACTTAAAATTGAAATGAGCATTGAGATTTAAATAGTTCTAGAACTCTACTCAGCAACTGCTGCGAGCAATCAATATTGACTGATTATCGTTGCCCAACTAATTTCATGTGTTAAGTATGTGAATACATAAAACTTCATGTGTTAAGCATGTAAATACATAAGACTTAGAAGGTATTTGGGAGACCGTGAGTCCTTGACCTTACACACAAAACATATAATATTTTTCCATTGCAATGATATATCAAAAATAAAAATGAAAGTTTCAAAAATCATTTGACAACCGATTTCAAGATTATATGTCCAAATGGATTGAAGCTGTTGCTGTACCTAATGATAATAACAACTCTAGAGATAAAAAAAAAAAAAAAAGATATTACGCATATATACTGAAGGATCTTCAATATATAAAACAAGCTATATCAATAACTGCAGCAAACATATTACTTCGCCAACTTCAGTTTATCATGAAACAAAAAAAAAAATTTGCGCAATTAAAACATTCAAGGCCTATAATTAGGGTTTAAAATGACAAATAGAAATTAAGAATTCTATAAACTTGTAAATATTGATATTCACAAATTGACCACCTATGTCATTTTGTCGTGATTCTGTTGAACCGCCGAACAAGGTTAGAAGTGAGATCAGCGAACCGTAGAAGCAACTAACCTGATAATCCGAACGTTAATTGAACGGTTCGGATCTTGACTGGAGCTCGGGAGAGATAGATAACACTCTTCAGTCTGCCCACCTTCTTCCTTTCTTCGAGTAGGGATTCCCTTCAGTCTCAACCCACTGGTTAGGGTCTCCCCACTTCTGCCCTTCCCCGGCAACCCTCGCCTCGATCGACTTCGAAACCCTAATCCAATCTATAGGTGGTGACATCCCTCTCCCTTTCTCGGCTCGCGGATCGCGAAGCGTGGGCTTAGTATTTGATGCATTTTTACTTGCCGATAACTTGTATATTGGATGGCACATCCCGGCAAATTCCTCTCTGTTAATCTCAACAAATCGTACGGCAAGCCCTCCTCCTCCACTCAGGGTTATGGAAACGGCCGTCCGCGCTCCGCCGGAGGCGTCGGCGGAATGGTGGTACTATCGCGACCGCGGAGCTCCTCTGGTACCACCGCGCACAAGAGCTCGTCGAAGCTCGCAGTTCCGCCCCCCGTAAACCTTCCCTCTCTTCGGAAAGAGCACGAGCATCTCGATCCGGCTTCATCAAATCCTTCTTCGGGCCACAGCGGGGCCGGCCTTGGCTCTGGCAACGGTACTTCTATGGGCTGGACGAAACCGGGTAGGTCCTCCGGGAAGCAGGAAAGTTTAGCGGGCGATGCGCGTCCAACAGTTCTTATGGAGAAAGCTGTGATCTTGAAGGGGGAGGATTTCCCATCTCTTCTGGCGACGTCCGCCTCTTCGTCAAAGCAGAAGCAGAGGCAAATTAGCGAGAAGTCTGATGGGTGGGAAGAGAAAACCGAGCTGTCGTCTGTCGTTGATATGAGGCCGCAAGTGAGATCATCTGCTTTTACCAAGAAAAATGTACATGGCAGTGATGACGGATCAATTCGGATTCCGTATCCTGCGGGACAATCGAGACTGGCGGATGCCAATATTCGGGCGCCTTTCCCACTTGTGAGATTGAGACACGCGACTGATTGGGATGATGACGAAAGAGATAGGAACCACGTTGTTTCCGCATCTGATGATCATGATGGCCGATTATTACTGGATGGTGAAGCTCGCAGTTTGATGTCAAGGGATTTGGGTAGAGGTGATCTTCATGGGAGGGAGTTAATGAACTCTAGAAAGGTCGGTCCAGATGTTAACTCTTGGAGGGTAACATTTCAGCCGAATAGAGATTTTTCAATGCCTCGAGAGTTGCATGTTGATAGGGATCATGTTGGTCACAGGAACTCATCTGTGGGCAGACGGACAAGCCAAGAAAACAGTCATGCTGGATTGTTTGACGGAGAAAGAAGAGATTTTGGCTCGGTTATGGGCGTTGGCAATGTTGAAGTTGCAGAAGCTTTTGATGGCAGGGCTGAAGTTCCCAAAAGTTGGCAACGAGGAAAGCAGTTTTCAAGTGGTATAATCCATATAGGCCCTGCACCTTCTGGGGTTAAAAATTTTCTTTCAAAAGATCCAGTTTTGAATTTCAAAAAAGAAAATGTTGTATCAAATGTTGGGAAACCTTATGTAGAGGGTGCCAATTGGGGAGGGAAGGGTTCTTTATCTAGAGATGCAATTCTGGACCTGAACGCTAAAGCTTTTAGGAAGAAAAAAGATGCAATGAGGCCTTCTGACTTCTTTGACCCTGTAAGGGAATCCTTTGAAGCTGAGCTTGAGAGGGTTCAGCAACTGCAAGAGCTGGAGCGACTGCGGGCGATGGAAGAGAAAACTAGAGCAATGGAGATTGCTCGTAAGGAAATTGAGGAGAGAGAGAGAAGAGTCAGAGAGGAGGAAGAGAGGAAGCAGTTACTTGAAGAAGAGGCAAGGGAAGCTGCCTGGAGAGCTGAACAAGAGAAGTTGGAAGCTGCAAGGAGAACTGAGGAGCAAAGGATTGCAATAAAGGAGGAGAAGAAGAGGATTCTTATGGAGGAGGAAAGAAGAAAAGATGCTGCTCGGCAAAAGTTATTAGAATTGGAGGCCAGGATTGCAAAGAGGCAGACTGTAGCTAATATAGCTAATACAACAGTTGATTGGATGAATGAAAGGGATCCTTCAAGGAACTCAGATCAAACTGAATGGGATAAAACTGAAAGAATGGTGGAACCTTTTACCAGCTCTACCTCATCTGATTCATCTTTTATGAACAGGTTTTCAGTAGGAGTCAAAACTCATAATTCAAATGTTTCATTTTGCCAGAGAGGAAGGCCTGAAAATAACTGGAGCCATAACAGGAAACAGTTCCAGGGAAGTGATGCGCCATTGCTGCTTGTGCCATCATTAACAAGTGGGATGTCATCTAATCTGACAGAAACAGGAGATAGAAATAATGATTTTGATCAATTTAATGGGAATTCCAATATTGATCCTGCATTTGGTGCATGGGACCATGGTCATTTTAGTAGAGACCAGCTTGCTCCTTTTTCACAAAAATCATTCCAAAATACTGAAGTGGAGAACTTAGTCTCGGTTAAAGTTAGGCAAACCTTAAGGCAGCCTCGTGTGCCCCCGCCTCCATCCCTGTCAGTCTCAAGGCTTAAGAATTCTTCTGGGGCTACGTCAGAAGGTCCTAATTCATCGGTTTCAGTGAACAGTGATGCACAAAGTAATCCAACAGGAAGAAAAGAAGAATCTGACTTGCAGATTGTGTATAATTGCAGATATCAGCAAATGATCCAAGAACCCGGAAGTACTGAGTTGCTGGAAGGGACTGCTAGCTCTTTGTTGCAAACAGAGGATAAGAGTAGTCCAAGATATGACTCTCAGTCTTCCCTTTCTGTTTCTAGCCCACCTAGTTCACCCACTCAACACTCTCTTGATGAACTTGATGATTGTGACGATTTCCCTGCTCCTACAAGTTATATTGAATATGAAAATACTGCATTATCTGATAGCAAGCCCATGATGCCAGAATTGGATGCCAAGCACATGCATTCTGAGACAACGCTTTTCTCTCTTGAGGAAGATGATGAATGGGCTGTTGATAATCATGAAGAAATGCAAGAAGGAAATCATGATATAGACCATGATATTTACGGGGAAGGTAATGAAGACCATGAAGGTGATGATGGAAATCTTGAAATGGAAAATAAGCTTCATGATGTTGATGCAGTTGTTGGGAAACCAGATGAGGAAACTAGGAATAGTTCTTTTGGCATCATTTGCTGTCCTCAACTTGGAGCTCCTGTTCATGATTTGCTGAATAACGATTTTGGGCATGCTAAAACGGGCATAAACCAGCTACGTCCTACTAGTGCTAAGACAAAGCTTGAATTTGCCACTAACTGTGTAGATATGTTGCAAGTAAAGGATGCTTTGCCTGGTGAGGTTTTGAATGCCTCTCCGGAAGAAAAAACTGCAGTTCATCCTCCTGAAAGCGTGGAAGCATCTAAATTTTTGGGTCAAAATCCAGTGGAATCTGCAACAAATTTGTCATTGTCGTCTTCATTTTGTTCCATCTCAGCCTCAAATCCTACTAGTATGGATGAAGTGCCTGTTAGGTTTCAGTTTGGGCTATTTTCTGGTCCTCCGTTGATTCCATCTCCTCTTCCAACTATTCAAATTGGCTCAATTCAGATGCCACTTCCTCTGCATGAACAATTTGATTCTTACAGTCAGATGCATGCTTCGCGTCCTCCATTTTTTCAGCTTGATCAGATAAACAGTTACGCGCCACCTTTCTCTCATAGTACCTTGCCAATAGCTGCTCAGACATTGTCCTTCATGCATCCTTCCTCTTTAGGTCACAGTTATATCGGTCTGAATCCTGGAAGTTCTTCAAGTAATCTTGTTAGTCTGGCTTCTACTCCAATAAAGGTCTTGGAAAAAGAACAGCCTACTTTTCCACCAGATAGTCAGCCTGGTTTTGGATCTGTGATTGCTAACCAACGTTTAGAGAATTTGGATTCTGAACAGCTAACTGAATTGCTGGGTGAAACAGGGGACAAAGCTCTTAGATCACCGAGCCAGATTACATCAGCTGGTTCTGATGAGAAGAAAGATGTGCGTGATTCGTTTTCTCCTTCAGCTAATCCTGATGTATCTTCATATAAGAATTGTAGATCCATGGTTAATTCTAGACGAGTGCGAGTTTGGCCACATGTTGAATCATTATCTTCAAATAGAAAATCTGAATCTGTGATGAAAGCTCCTGGAACTATGCCTGAGATTAAAAGGAATAGATTTTTGCACAATGCAAGAATTACTGGTTCTCTGCCATCTCTCAGAAGGACGGAGGACTTATTTGCTAATTCTTATCGGCATCAAAGAAGTGGTCGCAGGCATTTTCAAGGAATTGAATATAGGATTAAGGAGAATGGTGGAGCAAGACAAATGAACCGCTCCGAAATTTTTAACCATAGTAGGCAGAATGAGAAGCCTAACCACAGTAACATTGCTCTGGGTGTTTCCTCAAGAAATTTGGGCCGGAAGGATTCTGTTGTTACTAATTCAGCAAAAACTACAGATGAGGAAGCAGCTCCTGCTACACAAACTGCAGGTGTTGCTAGTATGAGCAGAGCTATTAAAGAAGAAACTGTGCCGAAGATGGGCATGACCACTTTTAATTTTTGTGGTGGGGAAGGAATTTTAAAGAAAAATGGGCTTCTTGAGGATGATGTTGACGCTCCTCTGCTGAGTGGCATTGTTAGGATTTTTAATCAGCCCGGCATTGAAGCTTCTACTGATGCCGATGGATTTGTTGAGGTAAGGTCTAAACGGAAGGTGTCAAATGAACGGCGAGGACAGAAGGAGAGAGAGATCAACCCAAGTTATAAGGCTGTAAAGGTAGTTCTTAGAATGAATTTTGCTTGACCCACACAGTTTAATGTTCTTATGTTTCTATAGAGTAATTCCTATTAATTTCATATTGCTTTACGACACCAGGTTCCTAGAAAGCCCCGTACAATTGTTTCAAATGATACTGTTCCCTCTAGATCAGATATGGTTGCGGCTTTAGCGGGTGGGGCTGCTTTGAAAGGTCTTCATTCTGATCCCGGAAACCCTATCAGAAGGCAACAAGCTGCTCTGGAAGCTTCATTGTTGCCCACTACAGGCATGGAAGGCCAGACAATACCACCAATTCGTAACCCTGCCATGAATTCTACTAATTTTGAAGCGAATCTCAAAAGTTTAAAGTATGCTACTTTAAGAACCATTGTCTCTCCCTTAAACAAATTTCTTTTTCTAGTTCCTCTACTTATACTATCATTTGCAGTTCCACTCAGGTAAGTTCTGCCGCTGAGAAAACTAGTGATGTAACAAAGCTTATGCCAAGCTTGTCTTTTGGCAACAATATCGTTGCTTATGATAAGGGTTCTGTTCCTTTAGGTGCATGGGGTAACGTTCACCTGAATCATCAGGTAACTTCATACGCCACTGCTCGCTTCTTTGTAGCATAACCTTTTATTTTATTGCATTTTATTGCTTATAAGTTTGTCTCTGTGTTTCTAGCTTTTTGAGTTTTATCTTTCCATGCACAGTTTATTTCTGGAGATGGTTCTAGCTTGATAGAAGTTATGAATTACAATATTTTAGAGATGATCTTTGGTGAGCATACATTGACTGTTATTTTTTATTTACTTATAACCTGGAGTAAGTTTGTAATTCATATTAAAATAATGACGTTCCAGTCCCCTCTGAACTTGTCTGCCTTATTTTTGTATTGCTAGTTCAGGCAAATTATACAAAGCAGCGCTTTTTTCTTTCATATCTTATGCTTATGTGTTCTTTCATGCTTTATTTATGTGTGTGTTAAGTTGTTGACCATTTTATTTGTAGGGGGCAGAAATATGGCATCATAAATGCTGAATATTATTGTGTTTACTCTCATTTTAGTTAACCCATACAATGTTAACATATTGTTAATGTTATGCTTTTGTCCATGTTATATGCTTACTTCAAAAGAGTTGTTATATCATATATGCTGCAACCACTTACAAATTGCAGGTTTCTGCGTCTATCTGTTTGATGCAATTGCTAGAACTTTGGTTGTTTTTGTGCGTTGCTTTGATGACGGGATCAATATCATTACCTGCAAGGATCTGGTGTCAACCTGCCATGAGAAGGCTCAATGAGAAGCCTTCATAGTGAAGATAAATCATTGTATTTTAGGATTCATCTATGCAAATCTGTATAGGGCTATAAAATATATTTTCAAAAGGTTTTTTGTTTCTGAATTTTCTGTAAGTTTCACATTCCTTGGTAATGATTTTTCAGGCGATTACTTCGACCCTATCTCAACTTGATGAAGCTTCAAATCCAGTTGAGAGTAATCTACTTTCAGCTGATGAAGGTTCTCTAGAGGATAGCGACCGTGAAACATCTACTATGACTCATGAAAAACCATATTTTCCTTCTGCCAATCAGTTTAACTTCCCATTTGCTGGGGAGAAGATTCAATTTGGTGAATGTTTTGTTGTTGCCTGAAAGTTTTTTTATGATTTCTCAAGCATTTTTTAATACCATATTTTACTTTATGTCAGGTGCTGTTGAATTGCCACAAACTCTGACCTCTCCTAGCCAATCTGTTTCAAGCGGCTTATGGCCTCCTAGTTATATTGTACTAAATCCATCAATCATCCACAATGTAAATGTGAATGAAAATAGTCAGAGGAGCTTCTTTGAGAAAGAGAAGTGTTCTGGTGTTTCTTGTAGACACCTGGATGACACTGAGGCACAAGCTGAGGCTGCTGCTTCTGCTGTTGCTGTTGCTGCATTTAGCAATGATGAGATCTCTGTTTGTACATTAGGTACAGGTTCCACTTTTGACATTGTAACCAAAGGACTTAATGCCCCAGGTATCTCTCTGACCTTTCGAGGTTAAAATACAGCAAAATAGTTGAAAATCCCAACCTCATGAACTATAAAAACTTCTATGGCAGATGAAACGAGGTTTGCTGATGTGGTGGATCAGTCAGCTAGTGAAGAGTCATTGGTTGCTACTCTTCCAGCGGATCTTTCTGTGGATACTCAGCACTCATTGTGGCCTCCTTTACCAGGCATTCATTCTTCTCGTCCCATACTTTCTCATATTGCTGGACCTCAACCTACTGTTTTCCCTTTCTTTGACCCAAAACCCATACTGGGTGGACCCATATTTCCCTTTAGGCCACAAGATGAGTCCACAGGGTCTCAGGAACAGCCACAACCAGATGCAACTTTTGGTTCTTTGCCCACTGGAACTTGGTCACAGTGCCATTCCGGTGTTGACTCATTCTATGGTTCGCCAGCAGGATTTCCTGCTCCTTTTATGAGTCCCCTTGGAGGGCTCTCTGGGGTTCATCCTCAGATGGTCTTTTACAATCATTTTGCTCCTGTTGGGCAATTTGGTCAAGTAGGCCTTAGTTATATGGGCACCACTTATATACCTACTGGAAAGCAGCCTGACTGGAAGCACAACTCAGAATCTTTCACCATGAATGTGAACAAGGCTGATCCCAGTAATCTAAATTTTATTTATGGTCAACAAAAAGTAGCCCACGTGCCTACTCTTGCACAGCAGTTGCCTTCTGGATCAGCTGTTAGTCCGGTGAATTCACCTTTTCCCATGTTCAATTTTAGACCCTTCCAGGTACCAGTTTCTTAATAGTAGAGAAATTATTTCTTTTGAACTTCGCAAATTTGCTTTGTTTTTTTTCTTTATGATACACGCCATATGAATTGTAAACAGCTTCTTCCTTATTGTGTACTTCTCCCAAAGTATAAAATTACATCATCCGACAATTAAAGGTGAATTATGCATCTTACCTATTATGCAGTTGATGTATTTTGAAACCTCACTCTTTTTTTGAGTTGCACAAAGTCACCAGTTGTGGATTTTGGTTTCAAAGTTTCTAAGCACTCCATTTTATTTACATCTACTTATTCTAGTTACGAAAGATTTAATTTATTCATTTGACTCTCTTTATTCAAAATTTCCGATTTAACCTTTAGCATAATTCAATTCACCGTGCTAGGCTTTTTCTGAGGAAGACTTTTTATGTTCATTGCCTTTGAGGTTATAACTCAGCCATTAAGTTTATTTACCCGTCTTATGGGGCATTGACAAAGGTGTTTTAATCCCATTTATTACAAAATGCAAAATATATTGTTTTCCTTATTGGTATGATGCATTTCAATGTTAAATTAGATGTTCATATTGTATGAATCGAATATCATGCTATGTTTTTTCAGAAGCTTAACAAGAAAATGTGAATTTCTTATCATTTTAAACTGTTAGATTTACAAGTAATGATTATACGTTACATACAAACTAGGCTATTTTGAAATGATATCATATTGTTACTTCCAAAATAACATGGGTGTGGACTGCCTTGTGACATTCTGTATGAATTGTATTGTTGATATGAATGGTTCAAGGTCCTCTCACTGTAGATTTAGTTTTACGGCTTATTTGGTTCACTGCTAATCAAAGTCCAGAAGACAATGTAAATCATATTTTTGAAATATTGTAATTCTAAAACGAGCAAAACATTTTGGCTGAAAATAGCTTTTTTAAGGCAGTCTCAATAGTTTTGGTTGTGATTTGTTTTAACTCGGTTTCATGTGGGAAAAGAAAACTCTATGATTGTCAAACTTAAGAGTGTAAAACCCATATTGATTTGCAAATACATTCAACCACATGATGGAATATCAATTTCTATAGTTTTGGGCATGTTTCTCATTTTTCGAGAATCTAAGTGGGTTCCGAGGTTAGAGCAATGAGTTTTCTTCTTTCCCTTGTGTGTGCATGCATGTGTCGTGGATGTTTCTTATCTCGTAGAAGAGGAAAATTTGATTTTTATTTGCGTGAAGTTTGTGTATTTTGGCATGTGATTAAAGTGGGGGTTTTCATCATTATAGAGAAAAGAATGGTCGTGAATTCATGACAGCAAGTAAGATTCGAGTTATTTCAGCAAACACATCTAACTTAATAAGGAATCTACTTATACGCCTAAAATACAAATATTCCTAGTTATACTAGTTAATTACAAAGATTTTAGATTCTAATTGGCCTAATAGATTAGGTAGCTAATGTATGGTTAATATCTGCCCCCAAAATGATTTTGGTTTTCTAAGAAGCATCAATTTGCTCATAAAGAATTGATGACTTTGAAATGTCATGACATTCATGAATATGTTAGCAATCCTAAGATTTGTAGAAATGTGAGGGAAAAAAAAGGTGTTTTGAAATCTCCCCAAATTGAATGATAGCTGTTTCAATGTATTTTGTGTTCCCATGATAAATAGGATTGGTCATAGCTTCGATGACATTAGTATTACCTGCATGGAGGTGAGTGGCATGATTTTGAACAAAATCTTTTTCAGACAAAGTTTATGAAACTAGATAATCTCATAACATGTAATAGATATACCACAATGTTCAGATTTAGTAGATGATTTAGATACTTTCTTATTCTTCCATGTAATCAACGAATGACTAACAAAACACACAGTGGTCCATGACAGCCATTGGTATCAAGACACTCAACCTAAACATCACCACCAGTATGCGACAAGATGAAGGGGGAAATTAATTGGAAAGAACAAATTATGGATTATGACTAGGTGTTCCACTAAGATATCAATTGATTTGATAACCAACAGTTTAGTGTTAATAACTTGGAGTTTGCATAATTAGTTGAACAACAAACGAAATGTTGGCTCGAGTAATTGTCCAATATTGAAATTGTCAACCAACTTTCAAAAAACAATAAGATCAAGAGAAAATATCACTTTCTTCACCATGATACTTTATATTTATGCCAGGACTAGGGCTCGGGACTTTGAATTTACAATGAAATTCACATTTTAAACTTAATCACCAAAATAAATAAAGTCATTAACAAATATAAATTCTAGTCAACTTAATATTAAAATAAATGTGAAGGAATTTATCTTTCTTTAGTTCAGTTGCCTTCTAGTAGCATTCTTTCTTCTATTGCTCATTTTCTATTTTAAATCTTAAACCTGAAAATGTTAGTTTTAGATTGTTGTGAATTATCAACAACCCAATCAACATGCACATGCTTGCTACATAAATCATTTTGATTCTTTTGTCATATAATATATTTATATAACAATCCATTTATAAATGACCACTTTAAATATGTGGAGTAAATATGTTGAGGGAACTTGATTCATTTTAATATGACTAAGTCGTCCAATAGAGCTGATAAATCATGATGTTATATATAATTATTTTCGATTGAATGAGAATCAAAATCAATTGATGCATTTAGTCTAGAAGAAAATATTATTATTGATAGTAATTTAGAAATATGAGCACTCACATAAGTTCTTATTGAGCAAACACTATGCCTCAGCCTCATCCTTATTGCCCTTGCAATTAGGTGTTCCTATAAGTTACTCTAATTGATGAATAAAAACCCTAAAAAAATATAGTTATTTAGAACTCTCTATTTATCTCTTTGCTTATAGTAATCATTTCAAATAAAAAAATGATTTATTTCTTTAGTTTATTTTGACTATTTTATACTTGCAACTAATGAGGAATTTATATTCTAAATCATATCTATTTATTTAATTGATAATAATTTAGTAATGATATTTTATTTTAAAAATATTTTGCAATCTCTCATAAATTTTTATTTATAATTATAAATATTTTAATTATTTGACCAATAATATAATTATTTGTATTGCTTAATTTCTTAAAGTTTTTCTTATATTTATCATACTTATTCTTCCTTTACAACTTGAATTTATTTTTAATTAAAATATTATGTTGTCATTAAACACCTTTTAAAATTTATTTTAATCTACTATCTAATTTTTTCTCTTTAGATTATTAATTAAATCTTATATTTATTAATTTATCGTAAGTTTATAATTGCTACGTTGAACATATGCAACCTTATTTCAACCAACTAAAGTTCTAATACCTTTCAATAAAAAATAAAAAAATAATAAATAATAAAAAAAAAACTAAACTAAAGTTCTAATAGAAATTTCTGATTGTATGCAATCTACACTTTACAATTTATTAAATTAACTTTTATAACTTAAACTTATAATATAAGGTTTCGTATTACAAAAATCTCCATAAATATTTCTTAAAAATCAAATTAGGTTTTGGATTTGTAATTCATGAGTAAGAAAATCTAAATAGAAATTTACTCGGCTCAATGGACGTCTATGCAATCAAACCCATTGATAGAAGTGTTTGATCCTACCTTCCTCGTTAGTGCTTTATCTTGTGAATTCAATTAGACACAAGACAGAAGGATGGTATTTTTAGATTTGTACACATGTTTTGGTACGTCTCTCTAGCTCGTGCTGCTGTACACGATCTCGATCATGCGAGTATTTTTCCGTCTTTGTCTTGCTTGTTCTCTTTGCTTTGATCCGCTTGAGCCATAACGAACTTGCCTGCCCTTGCCAGCACAATCGCATGAAGCCATGCTTTGTTTGCCATGATGTCAAACTTTGCTCGGCTATGGTTGAGCTCGATTCCCTGTACCACACTTTCGCTCGATCTCTTCTCTCCCACTCTTTGCCTCACATGTGTACGTCTCTCCTCCTCACTCACTTTCTCCTTAACCTTTCGTTGCATCTTCGTTCGCTCCGTCTCCTCCCCTTCGTCTCGGCTCCTTTTTCCGTCTCTTCTTCGAACAGCAGATAGTTGATGCTAGCTGGTTCTGATATTCCAAGGTGTTACAATTTATTTCTAATGGACTATCCACAAGTGAAGAATTTAAATGCATGCTAAGTAATGATATCATCTGTAACTTTTGTTGATTTAGTAATCATATCATGTGTATACTTCTGTTGTCTTAGAAAAATACAAGAGGGATTAGTGTGAGCTTCTAAACCGAAAAAAAACAGTAAGTGCATAAAGACTGTTCATATGCAATATGATCAAAAACTAGTAATTAGTGCCAAATTTATTTCAATAATAATAATGTCGCTACTGTAGATTAGAAGTAGAGAAATACCATTATATCTTTTGCAAAAAAATAAAGAGTCTTATGAGCTCTGTTTGAAAAAGAAATGAAGTAACCTAGACCTATCAAATTATGCTTGGGTAGCTTCTTTCAAGCTATATGAAGAGCATTTTAGTTGAGATGCATTTGAAGAAGAGGTCAAGAAAACAACAGATAGAAGAATCCTGTAAATATTCTTCCTGATATCACCATGAAAAATTAATTTTTAATATCATTCGCTGTAGTGTCCATCTGTGTGAAACAACAATACAGATAATCAAGAGTAAAAATTTGTTCATGGTTAATTCCATATTTTTATTTTTTACCAAATACAAATCAACATTCAATATATTGATCCAAATTATCATCAAAGTAAAAAGCTTTATTGAGTAAATTTATTTGCAGCCAATGGCTTCAACGTTAGAAGGATAATGAATAATATCTTGTGTTTATAATCTTCAAGAGCTAAAAGTTCACCAACAATTGCTTCCTTCCAACAATCATATTTAATAGCCTTTGAATAACATAAAGGAATCAGAATAGAATCCAATGGTGTGAAAGCCAGACCAATTTAGTGGATGAAATTTTTGATGATCGTCTGGTAGCATAAAATGAATATTAGCAACCTAGCTTATGTAGTGAATCA